ATCTTCTATCCGCCTCCACCTCTCTCCCTATGTATTTCAGAACCCCCTTTCCCTTCCCCATTTCTGAAGAAGGGCCTAGGCTCGAAACGTCAGCCTTCCTGCTCCTCTGATGCTGCTTGGCCTGCTGTGTTCACCCAGCTCTACACCTTGTTATCTCGGATTCTCCAGCATCTGCAGTTCCTACTAGCCCTCAAGTAAACCAGTTTATTTTTGCCAATCAGCTGTTGCTGCATTTAACCAATATGTCAGAGATTTTATAATTTGTGAATCAATCACTTGGTGCCTTCTCTGGAAGTGAAAGAACCAAAGGTTTTAGGAAAGGAAAGGAACCCTTCACCAAATCTTGAGGACTGATGCTGTTGTTCCCTTTCCCCAGATTTCTTTTAACTCCACTCATAAAACCATTTTTTTTTGTCTGACTGTGTCTGTCTATTTGTGTGTATAGTGTTGTTTTAGAAGGGGGCTAGAATTTAAACTATTATAGCTATATGTTGTCAGTTCACAGTTGTTCACCTGTCATTAGAATCTATGTTTTTGTAATCAGTAGTAATTCTTATTAAGTACAGAAACTGCATCTATATATTCTGTCAATCAGACAGGCAAATTGGGGATTTTGCGTACTTTGATCAAATCTTTAACTTTTATGATGACTCTGAGAATAGAATGGCTTGATTTCCAGCATGCTAGCCCAGGGAGTCATGACACAGAGCTTATGATGTTTAACAATGAGCGATTTCCTAGAAGGAAAAAAATACTTGCCCAGTGAGAAAACAGCAAGTCTACTAGTATGAGATCTGTTGGCCACCACAGACTCTCTCCTGGTTCTGGGCAATAAGTACTAGTAGCATCTGGATCAGTGCCTCCTGTTGGACATAGCTGACACTGGTAGCTGTGCAGTAAGCTGGCCTTACTGGCTTATACTGTTAACTAGGGCACTAGGCTTGGGCTCTCATTGAAGGCTGATTTTAATTTAGTTGTTCCCCCAATATGATTTTAAGTGTTATGTATGTTTTAACATTGATGTGTATTTTAAATATTATTAGTGAGTCAAATTCAATTTTAAATAGTATCCTGGATACAAACTTGAACATGACAAGAGTAAAGATAATAAACTTGTAGCTTATTATAAAACTTTCATTGTAAAGAAACCAAAAAAGAAAACAATAAAAATGTGAAATATCATTAAACTAGATTGGCAGAGGGATGGGACTCTGACAAATAATTCGGTGGGGTGAAAAAAGCAGAGATGGAATAAGATATTCATAGAATCCCTACAGTGTGGGAGCAGGCCATTTGGCCCAACCAGTCCACACTGACTCTCTGAAGAGCATCCCATCCAGACTCACCCTCCCCTACCCTATAACCCTGCATTTCCCATGATTAACCCATCTAGCCTGCACATCCTTGCACACTATGGGCTACTTAGCATGGCCACTCCACCTAACCTGCACATCTTTGGACTGTAGGAGGAAACTCATGCAGACATGGGGAGAATGTGCCAACTTCACCCAGACAGTTGCCCAAGGGTGGGATTGAGCCTGGGTCCCTAACACTGTGAGGCAGCCGTGCTAACCACTGATCCACCATACTGCCCCATGAATTTGTCTGGATGGTAAAGAAAGCATTGGCTAGGTAAGAAAGAAATGGGTTTAGCAAGGTTAAATATGATATATTTTAATGCGAGGAACCAGAGAAATAGATAAACAAGCGGAGGACACAGATAGGCATTTGGGATTATCATAGTTATGACCAAGACTTGGCTAAAAGCCTGATACGATAGGCAGTTCAATATTCCTGGTTCTAGGGTATCCAGAAGAGAAAGAGAGTGGAATAGAAGAGGATCAGGAGTTGCAGTATTGGTCTAGAAATCAATTATCGCAGAGCGGAAGGGTGGTATCTTGAAAGAATCCTCAAATGAGGCCATATGAGTAGAAATAAAAAACACAAAAAGGGAAAACACATTGCTGGGTACATACTGTAGGTGCCAAAACAATCAGGAAGAGATAGAGGATCAAATATTTTATCAATGCTGAAGAATAGGATATAAGCAAAACTGTATTAAATGCTGTTTAGGCCACAACTGGAGTACTATGTGCAGTTCTGGTCACCACATTATAGGAAGGATGTAATGGCACTACAGAAGATGCAGAGGAGATTTACCATGAGGCTGTCTGGACTGGCAGGTCTGTCTTATGAGGAAAGATTGGATCAGCTGGGGCTGCTTACCTTGGAGTAGTGAGAGGGAACCCAATAGGTGTGTATAAGATTATGAGGGGCATAAATAGGGTGGAAATTTTTCATTGGTAAAGGGGTTAGTAACTAGAGGACATAGATTTAAGGTATGAGGTAGAAAGCTAAGAAGAGAGTTGAGGAGAAAATGTTTACTTAGAGGGTAGTGGGAGTCTGGAACTCACTGCCTGAAAGTGTAGTTGAGTCAAAATACTCATAACATTTAAGTCGTAGTTAGTTGTACACTTGCGTTGCTGTAACTTCCAGGACTATCGGCCAAAAGTTGGAAAATGGGATTAGTGTAGTCAAGTATTTTTTGACCAGCATGGATACAATGTACTGAATGTCCTCCTCTGCAGTAAATATCTATACAGCTATAATTGATGAATAATACTTGTTGAATAGGCAAATCGTACAAGTTTTATTTACAATTTAGGTATTTATGTCACATACAGTTTTTTGCTTAAATTTTAGATATTTTAGGATATGTAGCTTTTCATTTTCTGGAACTCATTTGTGGCTTTGTCCCCATTTAGCCCCTGAAATGTAGAGGTGGCATATGAAGCAAATGCTGTGCTTATTAAACAAAGCATTAACCACAAATGTGATATGCCTACAGTTACATCACAAAATGGACACAGCAACGAAAGAAACAAAGTTGCCATCAGACAACAACACAGATATCAAAGAGGACTTTGCAGTGCCCAAAAAAACTGAAGCTGATGCAGAAAGATACTTCATGGGAAGATCATGAGTGATTTATTTGAAAAATCTCTTAGATTAACAGGCATGCCTCTTATTTTATGATTATCTCTAAATGTAATCAATGAGGTGACCGAAAGAAGGAAAGATACAATCCTCAGAGATAGTAAGAACTGCCGATGCTGAAGTCTGAGATTACACAATGTGGAGCTGGAGGAACACAGCAGGCCAGGCAGCATCAGAGGAGCAGGAAAGCTGATGTTTCGGGTCAGGACCCTTCTTCATAAAAGATACAATCCTGTTGTCTGATCTATGGAAACATTCTCCAAGCAGCTCTGTAAATCCCACACATTGTGTATTATTGTTCTTTAAATATTTAATTCTGCAAATAACTGTTTTGTCTTTCTAAAAATAGAAGTTTTGTTTCTCTCTATCCCACATTCGTACTGTCACAGATTGAATCAAGTATTATTTCACCGTTGTTTGAAAATATGTTTAAATGTATATTGTAGGCAAGGATTTGGATTGTAGATACCAACTAAATTTAATTTAAAAGGTGTAAAACAGGTTGTAAACTCTGTTGTGTTACATTATAATAGGAGCTATTAAAATTTATTTCACAGAAGTCCATGACAAGCTTAAAGTATGTGAAACACCTTTTCTCAATTGTTCTACTGAGTGTTACTGCCCTCTTCTGGTTCTATTCTTAGCTATCCAGTCGTAGCTGGATGATCTTGTGCAAGCCTTTTCCCCTCATCCTAACCTTTATCTTTGAAGATCTCCAAAGATCTACTGACTCCCTTTTGTTTCTCATCTACATGCTGGTCCTCATGACATCATCCGAATATATGACTTTCCATTTCTATGATAACACTCAGCTCTAATTCATCTTTGTCAACCCCTCTAATGCTCTGTGTTGTCAGCCTAATTTCCCACAATCCAATCGAGCCCAGGTTAGTTTTATCAGATTAAACAATGGGAAGATCCAGTCAAGTACAACAAGGTGCAGAGCTGGATGAACACAGCAGGCCAAGCAGCATCATAGGAGCAGAAAGGCTGACGTTTCGGGCCTAGACCCGAAGATCCAATCAATTGGCTTTAAACCCCCAACTATTCCTTCACCTCGATTAAATCCCCTCCCTGACCACTGCAGGCCAAACAAAACAATTCAACATCCTGTTTGATCATAAACTGAGCTCTTGCCTCTGTACCCTTTCTACCGAAAATGACCACCACCTTTTACTTCTAGAACATTGCTGTTCTCAACTAATCTGCTGTTAAAACTATCATGATGTTTTGCCACTTCCAGACAAATGCTCTATCGGTCACTCTCGTACTTTCCACATTCTGCAAAATTCAACTCACCCAAAACTGTGCTGCCCATATCCTAACCTGCAGCACCTTCCTCACCATTACACCTGTGTTCCATGATTTTCGTTGGTTCCCAATTGCCCAATGCCTCACATTTAAAATTCTCATGCTAAGCATTCACATTTTTCCATTGGCTTGTGCTTTCCAACTCTAATATCTTCGAGCTTTACAAACCTCTTGAGAACTCTGCAGTCTCCAACGATGGACTCTTCTTTGATCCCATTCAACTCTACATTGACAACCATGACTGAAGTCATCTAGAAACTTAGATCTGAAATTTTCTTCCTAGATTCATCAACTCTCTCTCCTCTGACACTCTCTTTCAAGCCAGTGTTTGACAAAGTTCTTAATAAGTCATTCCAATATCTCAGAGATGGTAGGAACTACCGATGCTGGAGAATCTGAGATAACAAGGTGTAGAGCTCGATGAACACAGCAGTCCAAGCAGCATCAGAGGAGCAGGAAAGCTGACGTTTCGGATCTGGACCCAGACCCAAAACGTCAGCTTTCCTGCTCCTCTGATGCTGCTTGGCCTGCTGTGTTCATCCAGCTCTACACCTTGTTATTCCAATATCTCCTCTGGTTCAAAGTCAATCTTTGTCTGATTATGCCCCTTGAAACAATTTATGACAATTTACAACCTTAAATTACCTTGTAATTAAAAATTGTTGTACATTCCCAGAATGGTATTCAGCCCAAAATTCTGTCCAACTCAGCCTTGAATATATTCAATGATCCAACCTTCAGTATTGCTGGAGAAGAGAATTCCAATGTCCGAGAGCAGAAATTCTTACTTGTTTTAATTTTAAATGGGAGATCCTTTATATTTGAACTGTGTCCAGTTCTAATTTCTCCGAGAAAGGAAAAGTTCTCTCGGCGTCAACCTGTCAAGACCGCCCAGAATTTTGTGTTTTGTGTGGTTTCTTCTAAACCCCACTGAGTACAGGTGTAACCTACCCAACCATTCCTTATATACAGTACCTTCTTTCTGTAAGATATTGTGATTTGGCAGCCACAAATACCTAAAATAGGTACATATAGATAAAGAGGAACACTGATGCCAGAAGGCTCCCTGTTATTAGTTCAAGAGAATAGTGTCCTTAGTACAGGAAATGCTGTCTTTGTGATTTTTATCTCTGCCTTGTTCTGGACCCCAACTGCTTAGAATTATTTACATGTTTCCAGAGAGAGTGAAAATTTCTGCTGTGCCAAATAGGAGTTCTGTAAGAGTTTTTTTGCTGTTATAAATATGTTATTTATTACGTGTTTTATTTCTTATATTCACAGCAATCAGGGTAGTAAAAATTTCTCTGAAATTCTTCTGATGCAAGCATATCCATCTTTAAATAGGGAGACCAAACTATACAAACTATTCTCAGTGTTTTCCATCAATGCCCTGCCCTGTCTTGTATAGTTCTTCCTTTCTGCAAGAAAAGCCAACATTCCATTTGACTTCCTAATTATTTGCTGTATTATCTTGCTAGTAATTAGGAATTGTCCTTTGATTTGGTAATTGGATTCACCAAAGGCATTAAATAGAGCTTTTAAGGGAAGAGGCAAAATGACATGTAAACTCATAATTCCCAAGTATCCTGGGACACTAAACAAAGTAGTGTCATCAAGTCACACCTTTATGACAAAGAAGGAGGGCAATTGGTGCATCAAATTGATTCCAGTTCTAAGTAGGGCAAGCCAGTCAGTATCACTGCCCTGGTTAATATCACATTGCTGTTTCTGGGAGCAAGCTATGCTGAAATTGACCAGTCATATTCTTTATATTACAACAGTTTCTATACCTCAAGGGTACTTAATTTGCCATAAATCAACTTTGAGATGCCCTTAACTTTTAATTTTTTTAATGGGATTTGGGTGCTATTCACTTGCTTGCATTTATTGGTCATCTCTAAATGCCCTTGAGATGACGCAAAATACTACATAAGTTTACATCATCCCCACTGCAACCTATCGTAGTTTTGAAACATGGCCTGCAGCAGTTCAAGAAGGCAGCTCACTACCACCTTCTCAAGAGCCACAAGCAAAGGGCAATAAATGCTGGCCTAGCTGGTGATGCCTACATCCCATGAATGAATGAAAGAAAGTGAAAGCCTTTTTTATGGGATTAAAACATAGGGTATAACTAGAAAATAATCATTTTTGAACACAAATCAATAAATTCTTCACAAAACTAAATAATATTTGATGTGGTGTTCTGCAGGGAGTGGTAAAAGTCAAAATTGCGCAAATCATTTTAGAAACTAAGATAACTTGCAGTGGAAACTGTATGGTCTTGCTGGATAGATGGGATAGATGAATATGGATTGATGACCCCCCACCAACTATCACCTCAGTTAAGTTACATTTACTTGAAAATGTTCTGAAATAAAATGTCAAATGATCTTTCCTCCATACTGACACCAATTTCTTTTAAAACTTTCAGTTCTAAAAATGTTACATTTACATGTACATATGTGTTTTTTAATTCATATAATATTCCCGAACTTGAGTACTGATTGGCCCTGATGGGCCCTATTCTGCTTCAGAAGGTGAATTGACACTGGAAAAACATGAGTTTGTATTTTGCTGCTAGTGATAGTGTCATAACTATATTAAGTATTTTGTAGAAAATCAAGACAAGAATTGAATTACAATGTTTACAATGCACACTTCATGATTCAACAAAAAACAGAAAATGGAGAATGAAAGAGAATAGTCTAATATTAACATAATAGCTAAATTCATGTTGCAAAATAGATAATAAATGCATTTTCCTACAATTCAAATATAGTGCAATTCTGCCCAGACTATTCAGTTATCTTTTTTACTATATGGTTGAGGAAAAAATATGACTTTATTACTGTGGTATTATCCATATGATATAATGTACCTTAAACACCTCATTCCTGTCATTTTAAATAGCTATGTCAAATACAGTCATATAGAGACATAGAGATATACAGCACAGAAACCCAACTCATCCATGGCAACCAGATATCCGAAATATGTCTAGTCCCATTTGCCAGCATTTGGCCCATATCTCTCCAAACCCTTCCTATTCGTATACCCATCCAGATGCCTCTTAAATGTTGTAATCATACCAGCCTCCACCACTTCCTCTGGCAGCTCATTTCATACATACAGCACCCTCTGCATGGAAAAGTTTCCACTTAGATCCCTTTTATAACTTTCCCTCTCACGTCAAATCTATGCCGTCTAGTTTTGGACTTCCCCACCCTGCAGAAAAGACCTTGCCTATTTACCTGATCCATGCCCCTCATGATTATATAGATCTCTATAATGTCACCCCTCAGCCTCCGAAGCGCCAGGGAAAATGGCCCCAGACATTCAGCCTGTCTCTAAGCTCAAACCATCCAACCCTGGCAACATCCGCGTAAATCTGAACCCTTTCAAGTTTCACAACATCCTTCCCATAGGAGAGAGACCAGAATCACATGCAATACTCCAAAAGTGGCCGAACCAATGTCCTATACAGCCGCAACATGACATCACAACTCCTATACTGACCAATAAAGGCAAGCATACCAAATGCCTTCTTCACTATACTATCTATCTGCAACTCCACTTTCAAGGAACTATGAACCTGCATTCCAAAGACTTTTTGTTCAGCAACACACCCCAGGACCTTACCATTAATTGTGTAAGTCCTGCCCTGATTTGACTTCCCAAAATACAACATTAATCTAAATTAAACTCCATTTTCTTCTATCCCACTCACTGTGTCTATATTTTTTATCATTTCAAAACTAATTTGAAAAACATTTATTGATTTTGAGAACTAATTTAATGTTATTTGTGTATAGTTTAACAAACTATTGAAGCTTGAAAAACCATATATGGTGGTGTGATACGAAGCACATTTGCAGCTATTAGCCATGACAAGATTGGATTTAGATGTGCTTTTGTCAGTTACAAATAGCCAGGACTTAGACACTTGCAATTCAGGCCTGCACTTGAAGAATGGTCACTTGTATGAGATACCGGAGAACTGCTCATGCATAGGGTACAATACCCAGCAGGAGTCAATTAGGGTAATATTAATCTGTTTTTGTGAGAAGCATTGCAAGATGAATCATCACTTCAGCTCATCATATTATAAGATCAATCTTACAATCCTTGGGGCCTGATTACTAAACGCAAAGCAATGTGGAACAGAATGTGTTTTTCACTTAGAAACTCTGTGGAGCTCCCTACCCCCACCATTCACAGGCCTTGCACAACACCCACTACCATGTTCCCACCTCTCCCCATGTTCCCACACCCCCAAATGTAAGATTTGTGGTTTTCTCTAACTTTAATCGTAAGATCGTAGGCGATTGCAGATATTTTCTATTCAACTTGTTCAGACATGTTATGATGCACTTCTGAAGTATTGGAACATGAACCCAAGCTTTCTGGTCCTAGGTTAGAGACATTACCACTGCACCACAACAGCCCACAATTATAATAATAAATTGAGTTGAGAAAGCCAATCTAAGCAGTCTACTAGCTTAAAGTATTGGCAAAGATCTGTAGCTCAGGTTGCGGATGAGGTTGTTGACTTGCTCGCCGAGCTGGCTTGTTTTTTGTTCAGACGTATTGTCACCATGCTAGATGACGTCACCAGTGGAGCCTCCGATGAAGCGATGTTATTCTACTCCGCTTGGAATTTATACCATTCCATTATGGTGAGAAGTGTCATTTCCGGCTTTGATCTGTATGGGTTTGTATATGGGGTCCAATTCTATATGTTTGTTGATTGAAGTATGGGTAGAGAACCATGCCTCTAGGAATTCCCATGCGTGTCTATGTTTGGCTTAGCCAATATAGAATTGGACCCCATATACAAACCCATACAGATCAAAACCGGAAATGATGGTATTCACCATAACGGACCGGACAGTATAAATTCCAAGCAGAGTAGAATAACATCGCTTCATCAGAGGCTCCACTGATGATGTCACCTAGCACAGTGATGAAACGTCTGAACAAAAACAAGGCAGCTCGGCAAGCAAGTCAACAACCTCAGGTCTACTAGCCTTAATTAGTTGCAGGACCTATTGCAGGTACAAGAATATTTTCACAGGTTTTACATAATTTAATAAGTTTATCATAACAAATACAAAAGAAATGATAATCAATAAAAGCAGTACAGTTTTCAAGACACCACCTCACATTTCTGGTTGACTTGGCACATATCCCTTATTCTCTTCTGCTGACTGAAGTTGTTCTTCTGTCTTTGGTATTTTTTTCCTGAAACGAAAAGAATCACTACTTCTTAACCTTTTCTAACACAACTTCTACTCATGATCAGTGACATCCTGAACACTAGTTGGCTTGCCAATGCATGAATCATAGATGAGCAATCACAGATTGGCTAAACAATTCTTGATTGCTTTCTTAAAAGCGATCAACATCTTACTGATTTCACTTTCTCTTATTTCCTGATTTGTTTCTTGAATTGTCAATCCTATCCATTTTGGGACAGCTTGTCTTTCTTAGTTTATCAATTTCATAGAACTTTACCTAGACAATATGGCACCAGTAATTAGCATGTCTGCTTCAAGTATGTAGTGTTACCTCAATGCACATTTCTCACCTCCACCACATCAACCTCACTCTCATAGGTCTGGAATCACAGTAATTATTATGCACCAAAATGGGGTCATGATTGGAGAGGTTTGAACACCACTGTCTTACTTCCTCACGATCTCTCACCTGAGTCCATGTGACATCTTCATATCAGGCTGCGCTTGAAGCAATGTTCAGTATTAATATTTTCACACACTTACGCCTTTAATGAATAACATCTTCCTCCAAACTTTTTCACCATAGTAACATTATAAATTTTTGTATATAATCACATTTATTACAACACCATCTCCCCCCAAGTCTCTGACTTTATAGATTCAGGCTGTCTGAAGATTTCACTATTCTTCCAGAGTATGTTCTCTCTGGACATTTAGAGTCATAGAGCTGTACAGCATGGAAACAGACTCTTCAGTCCAAATCGTCCATGCCAACCAGATATCCTAAATAAATCTAGTCTCATTTGCCAACATTTGGCCCATATCCCTCTAAACACTTCCTATTTATATACTCATCCAGATGCCTTTTAAATGTTGTAATTGTACCGGCCTCCACTACTTCTGGCAGCTCATTCCATACAAGCACCACCCTCTGCATGAAAAAGTTACACCTTAGGTGCCTTTTAAATCTCCCCCGCCCACCTTAAACCTATGTCCTCTAGTTTTGGACTCCCCAACCCCAGGGAAAAGTCTTTCTCTATTCACCCTATCCATGACCCTCAATTTTATACACCTCTGTAAGGTCACCCCTCAGCCTCCAATGCTCCGGGGAAAATAGCCCCAGCCTATTCAGCCTCTCCCTATAATGCAAACCCTCCAACCCTGGCAACATCCTTGTAAATCATTTCTGATCCAAATCAAGTTACACAACATCCTTCCTACAGCATGGACGCCAAAATTGCATGTAGTATTCCAAAAGAGGCCTTGCCAATGTCCTGTACAGCTGCAACATGATCTCCTATACTAAATGCACTGACCAATAAAGGCAAGTATACCAAACGCCTTCTTCACTATCCTGTCTACATGCGACTCTACTTTCAAGGAACTATGAACTTGCACTCGAAGGTCTGTTTGTTCAGCAACACTCCCCAGCACCCTCCCATTTGACTGGCAGGTGTTTGGGGCTGGGGGCTGCTAGGTCTGGGTCAGGTTACGTGGTGATGATGGAGTGGCCATTGGAGCTTGTGTTAGGATGGGAAGTTTGGGTAGATGCTGTTCCACATGGCACAGTTGAATTGAGTCGGTGTCAGGTCCTGAAGGGTCACTTTGGAGTTGGATGTATTAGGTCTAGTAGGGTTGAGTTACGAGTTGGTGGGTATCAGGGTCAGTTCAGGATGTGCAGGAAGGGAATGAAGGTCCATTGAGGGGAAGGTCCAACAGGATTGGGTTGGGCTGGGTTGGGACGGCATGGTTGAGTTGACATGGATGGGATATGATGGTTTTCAGGTCGAGTCGGGCAGATCTGCGTGGTTGGGTCAGGTCTGGTAGGGTCAGTAGTGGGCAGACTGGTTGTAACAGGTCCAGAAGGATTGGTCTGAGGGATCAGGATGTAAGATCAGGATGATGCATTGGGTGGGGGGGTCAATGATATACCAAGGGCTCTGTTGAATAGTTATCCAGGAATTAGAGTAGGTTTTTAATCCTCTAACTTTTCCTGGATAATATCAAGGTTAAGTAAGTCAGAACACTGAATTCTCTGATGTTAATGAACTTTTTCAGGGGAATTGCTCATCAGAAAATTCAACTTCCTGGGCAATTTCCCAAAATCAATTGCACAGGGGATTCTTTATGGTCCTGGCAAGCAACTCCAGTCTACATTGCTCCATCAACTGTCTGGCCATTGGAACATCTGGGCCAATATTTTGAGCCTAATTTTAGACAGGAAAATGTGTTGAAAGCAGTAGTGTGGTATTTCCTTTTCCAAATTCCATGTGGCTGCTCTGAGAGGAGTTGTCAATTTAATATAAAACATGAAACTTAGGGGGTCTTTACCAATGTTGCTGTGAACATTCCTCACAACAAAATGGTTTTAGAAATGTTGGTTTACTTAAAATAAATAAATATGATCAGGAAGG